TGTGGGCCCCCCCCCCCCCCCCCCCCCCCCCCCCCCCCCGATTTATTTTTGTTTATGAACGCGCGGGTACAGGCCGTAGCCTAGACGTTTCGCTTTTTGTGTGTACTTTTCTTGTGTACGAAAACTGCTGTGCTTGAAGATTTTAGAAGAGGTGTTTCCTTTAGATTGTGTCTGTCGTACGCAGAGAGGTGTTGGACAAGTGGAGTACGTGTCCAAGGAGTGTTTTCAAGCTGGTGTGTACTGACTAACCAACACGCGGAAGGTGCCTGCCGTGTGACTAAATACTTCGCGATTCGAGTTTACCAGGATGTCTACGGCTTGGCTAGCTGCCGGATTTAGAACAATGATATCTTCGTGCTACTGCTGTTGGTTTTGTGTTCCAAGGATTTTGTCTGATCCTAATGGGTGTCCCAATCGTGTTACTTGGTGCCAACCAAGCCTGGCGCTCCGTTGATTCGGCATGCTGCATGAAGATGTGTGTCTTCGTGCATACACCGGAGTGTCAGGGTTATTTTCTATTTTTCCGCGGTGCATCGAGCGCTCTGATACAGGCTTGAGGTGAATCTGAGGGTTCAAAATGGCTTTGCCTGTATACGCTACGGTGCGCAGGTGGTTTGCTCTTGCCGGACGTGTCCAGCAGAGACCTAACCCTTAAGTCCTACTCTAGCCTGTATGATACCACTACCGACTACGTAGGCGAAAGGGTCGAGCTCCTTGTCTACAGCATAATAGCTCGAGCACGCATGTACGCCAGCTATCTATGTAGCGAGACAAGACGCCGGGAACAGCCACTTGTTTCGTACTACCGCATTTCGAAAACAACGGTACTTCGCAGCATGCAGTGCTGAAGATAAAGGTTCAAGGCTTGTTCTTTGTAGAAGTAAACAATAGTGCGTGGTTCGGAGCTTCGGAGTAAACGGCACCAGACAGACAGACAGACAGACAGACCAAATACTTATTTTTGGCCGTTTTGCGAGTTCTAGAGATCGTGACGGCCCCTTAGAGGGACAAAGTCGTTGTGTCTCTTCTATTTTGACGTGATTGTTCGTTTTTCAGCTGCAGGCCAAAGAGCGGGAAAACCAGCTCCACCCACAGCTGTCTCCCATGAACACACACCTACAGGGTACCCCGCCGTTTACACCAAGCCTTTTACGTACGACACGCATCATCCAATACACCAAACCAGACGATTTGGGGCCACCTGCTACTACGCTACCACCGCATCACAAAAAAAAAAAAACAGAACTCCGTAAAATGGTACCGTACAAAGAGAGGGTACGAGGGAAGGGGACACTTTGGTACCACGAAGAACCCACAAACGCCAACCACAAACAAAACACACAATGCCGCAAACACTACAGCAGTAGTGGTGATGGATCTGACCCTCTGGGGGGCAGTGGGGGAGACAGACACTAAAACTGAGCCCCCAAACCTCCGCCCGTGCTGTGTCCAACAAAGCATTGCTCGGCAAAGCGTCGCCGAAGGCAGGGCGTTCGGTCGCGCGCACCCTCTCGCGAGCAAAAAAGGACAGAAACGAACGGTTGGGAAAACAGGCAACCCTTTAACCCTGACCGGTTCGGGGTCGCAGTGGAACGGCACGGTCGTTCCTCCCGCACGCGACAGACCACCACGACAAAACAGCCGTTTTCTTCTTCCCCGGGCGCACGGCCGCCAACAAATCTCTGGGGACTGAACAAAGGAAGGGGAGAACGATCGGTTGTCTTACACTATTGTTTTGTCTTCCGCGTGATGCTCTTACTCTTCAAGACGTGGGTGGCGTTTCGAGCACCAAAGCTTCGAGGCCGTCATACTGACGTACTAATAAGAGCACAGAGCAATCGGTCAGGGTGGTGGGGGGTTGGGACGGCAACTCGTTTCGAAAAAAAAAAAAAAAAGGCGACATGCATCCATCCGATTCGACAACACAACCGGTTTCGAACAAACGCTTCTTTGCGAAAAAAAAGGCCAAAACACGAAAAAAACCTGAAGGAGATCCAGGTGGCGACGTGGAACGAAAAGCACAAAAGGGGGGCGTTAGTTAACGCCAGACGCGCCATGCAACGGAAAGCCCGGACGACATGACATGCGTGCTCGCAACGCACCCACCAGAGCACCAATCACCAATCAATGGGTTTGAGAAGCAAACCCCCAGAAAACACGGTATATTGACAAAAAAAAAAAAACTGGAGGGAAGGAAAAACAACCGGAGGGACCGAAATCAAACAAGCAAACGCCAAGCCCTGGGTACCCCCACCCCTTGCGCTGGGTCAGCGGCGAAGCATTTACTCGACCCCCGCACGACGCCGACAGACCGCACAACGCGAAATACAGCGGTAAGGCCGAGAGTTTGTGCCCTACAATAACCGACACCGCGCAGCGAAGCAGTTCCCACAAGGGGGCTACCCCCAAGCCCGATTGTGCCCGCGACCAGGCCTACACGTCTGGGTGTGCCGTGTGCGTGATGCTACCACAACACGTACCATGCTCCCCACGGACCCCGCATTTTCGGTGCACTATGCTCGGCAACGAGCCGGATACTGCCCCCCGCGGCGCATGTTCTCTACCGGTATTTATTTTTTATGACAAGCAAAAAAAATGAATAAATGATACATGCTTCACAGCAGTTCAGAAAACGGGTTCAATATACTAGCTAGGAGTGCTCCTTCCCGATCGCAGCACAGCAGCAATAAGAAATAACGGATGCGACAACACAATAGTGGTACATACGGGCGCCATGCCCAGAGGGTCCGGCAGGGCGTAATCGACCAAATACAAAGAAAACACACGATGCTGCTCGCAAGAAATCAAGCGCTAATTCGTAGATACCAAAACACAACGTTAAAAAACACATGGCAGATGCGTGTCTTATCCTTAACTACTGCAAGACAGCTAGGGGGTTCCGCAGGCCTAGACACCTCTCGCGAGGGGGGGGGGCGTCCGAGGGCAACCACACCAATCCAGGAAGAACATTCGCGTCGTTGTCGCGAAACGCTCACGGCCTACCGTACGCGTGTTCGACGAACAAAAAAAACACACACACAACAACTGGAGACGACTCCCTCGGTTCGGCCTCCTTGTGTTGTAAAATCCAAGCGGTGAGCACGAGAACCCAATTCAACCCCCGTCGCGATAACTATACAATCGCGCCGCCATCCATGCCACGTCTAGATCATCTATACAACGCGACAAAACACCAAAAATAAAATGAATAAAAACTGAGGTGGCTGGCAGCGGTGAGACAGAACGCCTTGGGGCAATTAGACGAAGGGAATCGGGACCTGCCTTGTGTGAAACCACCGCGTGATCTCCCTCGCCTGTGGCCGCGAGCGGGTGCCCTCTCACCGCGAAAATTCCGCCAAAATTCCCAGAGGATCGTCCACGCTACTATTCACGCTTCATCATGTGACCGCCGCGCTTCACCCCCTGGAGAATGGTTAGGCCCCGCCCCAGCCCCGCTCCGCTCCGCCCCCCCGCTGGCGCTCTCGCTTTCAGACGAGATGACAATGTTGTTTCTCACGATATTAAACAATCTGTATCCTTTCGCCGCATCACATCGCTCCCTCCCGCGGCGTTGAGTCGGGCCAGTTGCCGCGCCATTGGACTTTCCGGCACCTGAGTAAATAACAAAAAAAAGTTAGTCACGAAAAGCAAACGAAGTCGAAAATATGGGATGGCCGCGTGGATAGGGATAACTCGCGCAGCGGCGGGGCGCCCGGGTTGGGGCAGGTCTTGGGGGGCCGTGCGGGTACATCCGACGTACGCTGTGTGACAGAGAGCTTTAAGGAACAAAGCGGGCAGGTGGCCCGCTCCAGCCGTACGGTGCATTTTTCCATCACACGGAACCCCTTCATCCTTGACTCTTTGCTGGCGACAAGCCGGGGACGGCAAAGCCCACTACTGTTCGCACACACACACACCCACACACGCACCCAAAGGCTGTTGGGATTCACAGAGTTTTCCCGAGAGAGTATAGATACCCCACGCGATGCTGGTCTCGTAACCAAAAACGATACACTTATATCCGGCGCATTTCTCCAGCCAATACATCTCCATGGGCATGCATCACAACGGTCAGACAGGCCACACCAAAAACAAACTCGCCTCCTGCCGCCCTCTCCCCACCGGCTACACGGAGGGACAAAAAAACGTTTAGCCTTGTAGCATACCTGCTGCACGTTCAGCTCTTTTCTCGTGGGCGAGTTGGTCTCGAACCAGGGAACCAGGGCTTCGACGAGGGCCCCCCGGTCCTGATTCGACCGGCACTTGAGCCACAGGTTCCCCTCCCGCCCTTCCACGCTCGTGTGGAGCACGATGCCGCACCCCCGCTTCGCCACCACGTCGCCGTTCCTCAGGGTGACCTCCCGGAACGGTAGTGAGACCTTCAGCAGCTCCGAGGGCTGCAGCCGGTCCATGAGCTTTATGCTCTTCACCTTCGCCTTCTCCACTACCACCGCCGCTATCATCCCCCCCCCCCCTCTCGCCCCCGGCCCCACCACGTTCGGCGATCGCGGAAACGAGCCCCGTTCCGTCGACTCCGGCGATCCGGCTTGCGAGGGCGGGTGCCCCTGCCCGGGAGACGGAGATCTCGGCGGCACCGGCGGTAGCATCTCCACCTCGAGCAGGTAGAGCGCCGCATCCGTCAGGAGGAGGGCATGCCTGCATTTGCGCGTCGCGTCGCAAGGTATGGTGCATCGCGTAGACGACTGTTTGGGGGCATGGCAGAAAATCATGCTCACCGGGGGGCGGGGTGTTACGAACGGAGGTTGTTTTGCTTGGCGACACAGGGCATGCGCCAGAGGCGCACCTGTGCCCATTCAACCTCTTAAGAAGCCACGGAAACGGTAGCACGCATCGAGGCCGGGGGAAAAGCTAAAAATTACTACGCATATTTAGAAGAAAAGGGAAGGCAGTACAATATACCACCAACCTTGTGAGATCGTCCATGGGTTGCAGCTCTGCCTTGCCCAAGCCAACGGTCGTCGGCTTCGCTCGCCTCACGAAGTCCACCACGATATGTCGCTCCTGGCAGAACGCCTGTCCAGACCGTATCAACGCCTGGCCCGTCGCAAAAAAACAGCAAAAGAGCAGACGTCGTCAGCGACCGAGAAAAAAACGGCCTTCATTTCTTATTGGTCTTGTCGGCACAATTTTGCTCGAGAGAGTGATTGGGGGAGACAGGGAGGGCACATCAGTATGGTGTCCAGCAGTACGTGCCCGTCGTGCTACATGCTGCTGTGTTCATGCATCACGACGGAAGAAGCCTGCGGCTCAACTCTCCCCTCGTGAAGAAGGGCACCCATTAAGAGAAGCACGTCGGGAGAATCTATCGCAATTCCAAAATACGTACCGCCGCGCAACATGAAACTATTATAGTGGGCATGGACCACCGGCGAGGATGGGACACCGTGAGAAACCCCCACAACCTTGGTTGTATTTCGTGGCGGCAACAGCAGCGCTGGCAAGACGTGCTGCAAGGAAGGTAACGCTCGGGACCAGAAACAGGATCCCCTCTACAGCAGTACTACCATCGTGCAAAGCAGAAAATAGATACATGACGTGCCCGTACATAGCAACCGCACGAAACAACGTGGATGTGCCGCAAAACAGCTGCGGTGTGCCCACACGCGTTTGTTTCAGGGAAAAAAAAACCATCAACAAAACTCACCAACGTCGCTTCCAAGCGCGGGTCTCGGAAGAAATTCCGCCGCTCGTCCTCCTCCTCGTCCTCCTCCTGGTGCTGGTGCTGGTGCTGCTCCTTCTCCTTGGCGGCCTTCGCCCGCAACAGCTTGGAGGCCGAGAACGACTCCGGCGTCCCTCTCGTCGGCGATCGCGCGGGCGTGGCGGCCGGCGCCAACGCCCCCACGGTAAGCTTTCGCGCCGGCTGCGCCGGCGGCGGCG